AAGTTTTCTTAGATCCAGGACCAAAAGAATGACTCATAAAGGCACAAATTGGTAAATCGGACATCATCAAAATAAAAATCTGCTCCCAGGAAAGATGAAGTGAATGAAAACAATAAATCAAAGACTCGAGAAGAACACCTGCTAAAATTATAGTAGATGTGAATGCTATTTGCCCACTTAGTATGTGCCAGACACTATTCTAAGAAATTGTTACAATTTCTTACACATGAGGGGGTCTTCAAAAAGTTTGTGAAAAATCTACATGATGCTTTAAATCTATTTCCAAGTTTTCGGAATGTGTACGATTGGACTGTATAGATTGCATATTACACACAGTGAAGCACCTCATAGCAACATTTTGATTATCAACACATCACATCTTCAACAGTGGTCCTATAAGAAGATAATGGAGCTGAAAAATTCCCGCTCCCTAGTAGCATCATAAAGTCTTAGTGTAATGCATTGCTCCCGTGTGTATGTGAGGCTGGTATAAATCCACCTACCGCACCGCCCAGTATTTTGAAAGATAAAAGTATAACACACACCATTATATATATAGTACCTAACTGCTGGATTAGTGGTAACATTGCTGGTTTACATATTTTGTGTACCACATTTTTCATCATTATTTTAGCATTTACTTTTTGAACAAACATAAAACAATGATATTTTGTATCACCCAGGCACCAGCCTCACACAGCTGGTGTTTAACAGGTCTCTTGACCCAGACAGGGAGGAATGCCCTTGTGGAGAGACTGACCTACTTACGGCACCTAGGCTTGCATGGGTGCACACTGTGATGCCTCCATAACTACCACCGTTTGCTGAATGGCACCTTTCTCTAGGTATAGTGAACCGTGACTGTGCTTGAACATCTTATAAAGTAGATACAACTTGTATCCTTGTTTCATAATAAAAGGTGCAAGAATCTAAGCATCATGAGTTAAGTGCAGAAGCCAAATTGGAGTCTCAGGTGCAGGTGTCTGAGCCCAGAGAGCATGCTCCTTCGATCCCCTAAAGTAAAAACAAATGCTGCAGTGTTCTTCCCATTGTCAGACCCACCTCAGTGCTTCTCAAAGGCCATCTACTTCTTACTTAAACAGACTACCTTTTAAAACCCCTGAAGTAAGGCCTTTATGACAGTCACCTGTGCCCCACCGTGTTCCATATACAACATCCTCTTCCGACAAACCTCGTCAACGTCCCAGCAGACCAAGAGGTTATCACTGTTTCCGGGACTGCTATCAGCAGTCCAAGGGTAGCACAAGTAAGTTTGTTACGCTCCATAGCTGATAAACGCAGCCTTGAGCTTGAATTGTCACATTGCCCAATTTGCTGTTGGAGCAAGGCACATGCCTGCCACACAGCACACAGGGATTCCTCCTGTCTCCTTCAGAGACCACGTCCATCTAGAGAGTGATCAAGACATGGGAACGCTGATGTTTCTCTGTGTGTCTGAGCCCACACAGCTTCCTGCCAGGCCCTGGAGAAAGAAATATGAAGTCCTAAAAAGGCACTGGGCTGAATAGCACAATACGCTCGGTTACCCTTGCTTCGTGTAAACACAGGGTGACTGTGAATTCTAACAGCCTGGGTGTCAGCAATTGAGCATGGGTCTGATTTGCATCTAGAATGCATCCTGAGGGAGGCTGAAGATCTCTTTGTTGGAGGAGAGGCACATATCGGAATCTGGTCACCAGGGTTTCCCGGCAATTCCCCTGTGAATGTTCTACTATTGAGGAAAACATTGTTTGGCACTTTCAGAGCCATTGGCTTTGGACTAATCCATTGTATTTTTCCAAGTGCAACTGAGGCACATCAATGTCAAAGAAAAGAGAGTCAGGGGGAAAACTCAATTTCCTTTTCTGCACAGGAGATATAATGCAGCTTGTAAGCTTTAGCCACAATCTGGCTATTGCTACCCTACACCTGTGTACCAGGACTGTTTGCTGACTTCAGCACTGACGTCACATCCGAGTCCACAAAAACATGTACTCCAGAACTTCTGGGATTCTGATTCCAAGGGTCAGAAAGCCCAGGACCCTACCTCTTCTTCCCATTGCATATTGTGTTTTAGCTAGCACTTTAATGTTTTCAAAAAGACTTTATTTTGCCACCTTCAAAATGAAGGATGCAATGTCTCCGTTCTGCTGACAAGATTTGGAGATCACACGGTGGCAGCAGGCTGGGGGTTGTTCTTGCTCACCTGGCCAAGGACCATTCCTTTGCACAGCCCCCCCCCACCCCCCGCCCCTGCAGTAACTCAGATGAACTCTAAACCTGTCACAGAGAGCACCTCCAATAAAACCTGAAACTTTGGCCTTTGGCAACTGCCGCTCCTAGGGTGTGTGTGTGTGTGTGTGTGCACCCTGTGATTTAGCAAAGTCCAGAAGTTCCCTCGGATAATTATTTTTTTTTTGTGCCACATACCTAAAACCGAAATGTAATGTTAATCGGGATGTGGAAAGTTTTGAAGTGTGGGTGTGTTTTAGGTATGTTAGCATAGATGTTATCAGGCAGATAAAACTCTCGGATTTTTTTTTTTTAATTCAGAAGCAGTTTCTAAACTCTAGGAAAGAGGGAAAAAAATCAATGGAATAAAACATCTGTACACTCATCCTTCGCACCTGTGCTGATAGGAATGGCTCCACAACGCTTCCACTACTGCACTTCCTCTCACTGCTGCGTCAGCATCACATTATTCCGTGTGTTTATAATTTAAAAAGAAAGTTGTGTCTACCTTTAGAGGAAAGCCTTTGCTTCTGCTCTGGGAACTCTGATCTTCTTGATACTTGCGTCAGGAGACCATCTAGATGCGTGCACGTAAGTCAATGAGAAGGTCACCGGTTTCCAAATAATTAGAGGCAGCAACGTGTAAGGGTTGGGGCAAGGGAGCAGGCAGCATCTACCTGCGAAATCAGCCTGGAAGGCTTGCTCTCTCTTTCATCAGGAAAAAGGAATGTGCTCTGGGGAGATGTAATGCAAGAGGCATGGGGAGCCCACATGACCACAAAAACACGTGCCAGTTGCAGGCATCTCAGCTCTGGGAAGGGAGGCAGAAAGGAAGAAATGAGGCCCACGGGCCTGGCCCTCAGTTAGACCTCAAGTACACAATGCTTACGTGGCTTCACCTGCAAGCCTGTCTAAAGGGGACAAAGCCGGCATCAATCCAGCCCCCTCCTCATCTTGCCTGTGTCTCTGTCCATGCCCCAGCTGAAGGGCAGTGTGTGTGTGTGTGTGTGTGTGTGTGTGTGTGTGTGTGTGTGTTTTCTCAGGAGCTGCACAATGTTCCCACCAAAGTTCACTGTCAGGTTTGAGTCCTGGTAGGACAGCGTTTCCATCACAAATCCAACGCAAAAACCCACCTGGAATCAAACAGCTTTTCTGCGGGGTGGGGCCCAGGGAGCAGGAAGTATAAAATTGAAATGCTTTGTTACCAGTGATAGGGCTGAAGGTTCCTATCGTCGTATTAGAAGTGGGGTGCACCAATACGTGAAACGGGGCGTTAATGGCCTAAATGAAGGGACGGGTATGAATTTTACATTCAACGGATTAATATCATGTGTCATAGTGGAATTTTAAATACTCCGTGTCCATGCATTTTTAATCTCTATGTGCTCTGGTGTTGCGCGCACGGCAATTACATTTCTTTAGTGATTCTGCATCTTGATGAGTAAAAGAAAAATCTCACCACGTTTATTTATATAGCCCTTCACTAAAAAGAAAAAAAAAGCTTGCATTCGATTCGACATGCCTTTCCTTGCTTGCTTTTTCCTTTGCGGAGGTTTAGCTGTTCTCTTAAAACACAGGGAGAGGGAGAGAGAGAGAGAGAGAGAGAGAGAGAGAGAGAGAGAGAGAGAGAGGCTACACATTCCATTCCATCATTATGGTTTCAGCAGTTGTGAAAAGGCGAATAATCAAACAGGGGGCGAAATGCCGAAGAGAACGAACGCGCCGCCTCCAACAGAGGCTGTTTCTTAAGGCGCTGGAATCCCAGGGATGGGGTGCGGGCTGGCACAGGGTCCCCAGGAGCAGTTCCTGTAGGAGTGTCAGGGTGTCCCCCGGGCGGGGCCCAGCGCTTCCCCCTCCCAAGCAGCTCCGACGGGGAGAGGGGGAGTGAACGCCAGCCACACATTCCGGCAGTTGTTCGCAGGAACTTCTCTCTTTTCCCTCCCCCTCGGGGACACACACACACCCACACCCACACACACACACACACACACCCCAGACCAGCCGACATCCACCCGGCTCTTTTCTCCGCTCCGCGACCCACAGCGTTGACGGAATGGAGGGCCCTTCCCATTGGCCATGGCGGCATCCTCCCCACCCCGAGGTGGCACTGCCCGTCTGATTGGCTGGCCACTCGGGGTGCCCGGCTCCCCTCCTCCCCGCCGCCCAGCACCGCCCGCCCCTCGCCGCCTCCCTCCGCGTCTCCGCCCGCGCGCAGCGGCCGGCTCGGCTGGGCTCGGCGGGCGCTGCCGTGCGCCCTGGCCCGCGCGCTGGCTCCGCCTCCCGAGCGCGCGGCACTATAAAGGCAGCTGCGCGGCGGGCTGGGCCGGAGCGGAGTGCGGGAGGCGCGGCCGGCGGTCGGCTCCGGGAGTCGGCTCGGGGAGTGGGTTCCGGGAGTGCGGCTGCTTGAAAAGAACCGCCTCCCTACCCCGGCTGGAAGGCAGAGCCGGGAGAGGGAGTGAGTAAGGCGCCCGAGCGAGCGGGCTACTCTTTCATTTCCCCCAGCTGATTTTTTGTGGGTTTTTTTTTTTTTCATTTTTCTTGCCTTTTTGGTTCGGGCCGAGTGTCGCTCACTGAGCTGAGAGATTTCCCCTCGCCAGATCCGGAGCGACCCTCTTCCCGTCCGTTTCTGGGCTTGGGAACACCAGGAGCCGGAGCCAAGGGAGCGGAGCCGGGCGCGATCGCGGGCGGGGCCCGGAGCCAGCCTGCCTGCCTGCCTGCCTTGCCTGCCTGCCTCTCTCGCCCCAGCGGGTCCACTCGCTCCAGGCGCGGGGCGCAGGGCGCAGGGCGCACGCGATGAAGGCGGTGAGCCCCGTGCGCCCCTCGGGCCGCAAGGCGCCGTCGGGTTGCGGCGGCGGGGAACTGGCGCTGCGCTGTCTGGCCGAGCACGGCCACAACCTGGGCGGCTCGGCGGCCGCAGCGGCGGCAGCGGCGGCAGCGCGTTGCAAGGCGGCCGAGGCGGCGGCCGACGAGCCGGCGCTGTGCCTGCAGTGCGATATGAACGACTGCTACAGCCGCCTGCGGAGGCTCGTGCCCACCATCCCGCCCAACAAGAAAGTCAGCAAAGTGGAGATCCTGCAGCACGTTATCGACTACATCCTGGACCTGCAGCTGGCGCTGGAGACGCACCCGGCTCTGCTGAGGCAGCCGCCGCCGCCCGCGCCACCTCTCCACCCGGCCGGGACGTGTCCGGCCGCGCCGCCTCGGACCCCGCTCACAGCGCTCAACACTGACCCGGTGAGAAGCGGGGGGTGTGCGCCCTGCGGGGATGCTGGGGGCGCTCCGGGAGGGCGGGACGCGGGATGCCCACCCTCCCCTCCTCCTCGGGGTTGGAGTCCGCGAGGATGCCAACCTCCTCCCTCTTCTCCTCCGGGCGCCCCAGGGCCACCGGCCTCAGGCTGGGCTCGGCGAGCTCGGGTCCGGGAGGACGCGCGGGGCAGGCCCCGTGCTGTGTGCGTCGCGGGCTGTCAAGTGTCCCCGCCGGCGTGGGAAGGGTCCCCCCAAACCCCCGGGGGTGCTGCAGCCCGCGAGGCGGGCGGTGAGGGGGGCGTGGGCGCCGCCAGGCTGGCTCTCCGTGGATGCCACCGGGGACCGTGGCGAGCTCGCCCGCCTGCGCCTGCTGAGCTCTTACCTTGCTGTTGGGTTGCCGTTGCAGGCCGGCGCGGTGAACAAGCAGGGCGACAGCATTCTGTGCCGCTGAGCCGCTCTGTCCAGGTGAGCGCGCGGGCGTCCGTCCCAAGTGGCCGGGGTTCAGGGAGTCTCCCCCCGGGGGCTTGCAGTCGTGGGGTGGGGGGGGTCGGGGGCTTTGCCGGCGGAGTGTCGGGGGGCAGCGCGCCCTCTCTCTTCCCACCAGCCGGAGAGCGAGCAGGGAGCCCGCACTTGCCTTCAGAAGTGGGGAGGGCCGAGGAAGGGAGAGTCCAGGCTGTGGCGGGCTCTTGTTGCTTGCTCTTCTCCTCAAGCGAGGACGCCCTCGTGTCCGTGGAAAGTGTCCCCCCCCACCCCGCCCCAGGTCCTCCCCCGACCCCGCGCAGGCTGACAGCCGCCCAAGGCGTGGGGGGCGGCCTCCCTGGGCGCGCCAGGCGCCCGCAGCTGCCTGCACGGCGCCTGGCCCGGCCGCGGGGGCCTCGGCTGTGTTGTCCGAGCCGGCGGTTGGTTTGTTTGGGGTTGTTGATCAAGCATGTCTTGAGTTTGGTCGGTGGCGCCAGTCAGTCTGCAGCGGGAAGGTTCACACACCCCTCCTCTATTCATTCCTCTTCCACAGGTGTGCGGCCGCCCGCGCCCGAGCCAGGCGCTCGCAGAGGGAGGGGGAAGAGCAGAAGTTAGTGGAAAAGCCACCGAGAAAGGACAAACCTTGTCAGCCCGTCCAGAAACCTTCTCACTCGTCATTCCAAGAGAGAGGGAGAGGAAGGAAAAACAATAAAACTTTCATCCTTTTTCTCTGTTTTTTTTTTTTTTTTTTTTGCACGTTCACATACATTCTGCATTGGTATTCTCTTTTGTCTCTTCATTTATAACCGCTGTGAATTGTACAGTTCTGTGTGTTTTGGAGGTGCAGTTAAACTTTGAAGCTTAAAGTTACGACAGGACTGATAAATAGAAGATTCGAGTAAACCCGACTTTAGAAGCCTACTTTGTGACCAAGGAGCTCAGTTTTTGTTGTGAAGCTTTACTAATATACCAGAGCATTGTAGATAATTTTTTTTTGCATCTATTGTTTAAAATAGATGATTATAACGGGCAAGGAACTTCCTTTTCCCTGCAAGAATGTTACATATTGTATAGATAACCCAGTGACATTTCATACCTTGTATATATAGAGATGTTCTATGAGTGTGAGAAAGTATATGCTTTAATAGACTACTGTAATTATAAGATATTTTTAATTAAATATTTTTTGTAAATATTATGTTGTGTGTTTTTTTTTTAAACCTATGGGACTGTTTCTTTTGGAAAATAATTTTTTCAGCCCAGCCGCAGAGCTTTTGTACCTCGAATGTCTTTTTCTGTTTGTTTGTTTGGCCTGGCTATTAATTCGTTTTTGTTTCACCCCGTGTGGTAGACTCGCCATTAACAGTTCTAGATCGAGGTCTTGCATGACTTGCATGAGATATTTAATCACAAAATAAATTCGTTCTGAGTCCATTTGCTTAGATTGAAGTCTTTGTGTTTGAAGCATACGTGTGGAACATGCACATTGTCAGGTGCTCTTTCCTTTTTAACCTAAGGTTTTATAGTGGAAAAACCTGAGTACGTGTTTGTGTTTTGTTTCTTCAGCGAGGTCCGAATGGATTCTGGAGGATTTTGCATACGGTATGGGGAAATGCCTGGACCTCGTGGAGTTTACAAAATCTGTCTGCAAAGTGAAAAAAAAAAAAATGCTATCACTCTTCATTTTACACTGATGGCTTCCTGTCACGTGTTTCATGTCTGTACAGATCCTTTAACTCCTGGAAATGGAAAGTGTTCTCTGCTTGCTACCAAAGGACAGACTCTTGGAAATGAACACTTTTTTTTTTTTTTTGCCTTCCTTCCTCCAAAGAATATTAATAGGCAACAGTGGGAGAGAAAAGATTGAAAAAAAGGCATAATGGCAAATCCTTTAAGCAGGGCTAAAAGTCGATCTTCAAACATTAGACCAAAAATTCTGATGACTGCATCTAGATTATTTTTTTATAAAAAAACCGATTTTCACTAGAGTTATGTTAGTCACTGCTAAGCTGCTGTCCCGTGTCTTGTGATGTGTAACTTTTACATGTGAATATTAAAGTAGATGTATCTGTCTTCTATTGTGCTTTCCGGTCTCGTTTATTTAAAACCTTGCAGTTTTTTAAAGACTTTTTAAGCGAAGGCGTTGTTTTCTCGCTTAGATTGACCTATCAGGGCTTTGCGAACATTATGCATTTAATGTGTGGAGTACTGTACCCACCAGTTAGATGGAATTTTTAGAGAGAATTAAGTGGGATTTAATTGGGTGCTTTGTAAATAGTCAGCTGTGTGGGTAACATGGTCTGTTTGATTTTTAAAAGGGAAGGATTTGTTTCAGATTATACCAGAATAAAGTGTTATAGACCCCGGGGGACTTTTTATGAGGTCAAAATTCAAATATTTATGTGAATATGAGATACCGTCGTCCGTGGTAGTTGAAGTGGCAGTGTCTCAACAGAACTGAACAAACGTAATGCTAGATTAAAGTCAGTGGGACGTAGCTCCATCCCCACTTGCTGTAAGCCCAGCTCGGCTAGTTTACTGTTCTTGGGTATTTTTTAGAGCTTGACATATTTGATATTGAGCCCTACGGTGTCAAAGCGTGGCGTGTTTAGCTGAGGTTTATTTGTATTTTTATTCATTCATGTCACACTTCAGGAAGAAAACACTAGAACACTGCTGGAATTCCAAATCTGACTGCATTCTTTGTTATTAAAAAGGGCCTGATGCCTCCTTTTTATTTGACAGTTTAATTTCAGAGGGAAGCAGGTCACTCGTGCCCTGGCCTGCTCACCCCTACCTGTACCTTTGGATGGAGTTTAACACTTAGCACTGATGGGCTAGCAACCGCAAACAAACAGATGAAGAGAAGTTTTGCGGGATAGATGTCCTTTTGTGAGAGAGAAATTTTGATCACAAAAATCCCCTGAAAGAAAAGGACAGAGAATTGGCACTGTCCCCTTGGTCACTCAAGCAGCATTTTATGTCATTTATTAACATGAAAAAGTGCACGTAGCTGTGTAAGATATACTACAGGTTGTTAAAAATGCTGATTGTCTCTTAAGCAAGCAACTAGATAACAAAAAAAGAAACCTGACTTTTTGAATCTTTATCGAGGTAGTTTGAATTTTTCAGATATTTGGTTCAGCAAAGGAAAATGTCCTGACTTCTCTCATCTGATTTGTGGGCTTTCCTTGTGTGAGCAAAACCAAAGAGTGAGTCTCATGTAAAACTGCTGAAAGGGAAGACCACCTACAGTGGGTGTTGTTCCTAAGATTCCCGGAAAAAGCCTCAGAATGTAGGTATCTCCTGTTAGAAAGAAAAACAAAATCTCTCCATCTCAAAGAACGAATAGACTTTGATACTGTGTAAATCATACTCAAGTTTCCTGTCAAAGCTTTAACTGCATTTATAGAACTTGGAACAGTTTTTGACCCCCTTCCTGTATCTTGTATGAGATGCCTTCTATAACAATAAATCTTCACTGAGCAACAGGTTCTGAAGTTTGTGGTTTTTAATTGACTTTTCCTGAATTGTGTAATTTTTCATGATCAACAACGGGTCTCTTGATGGATCACCTCAATTATTTACAGTGTTTCTTACCATGGGAAGAAAAATGTGCCTTTAAAAATGGTGATATGAATGGGAAGAGAGTCTAGTTTGAATGCCAAGGAAAACTTCTCTTTTAGTGCAGGAAGCAATCATTCTAAGGAAGATGGCAAGATCAGGGAAAACTAAACCTAAAGAAAAAAGGAGCAAAATGCAAAATAGACGTGTTTTCACAGAAGTTCAGAGCCAAATAAAACTGTCACTTTGGCTAGTACAGATAATTTTATAAATATGAATATATATACATATAAGTATATATATATATATATATTAATCTGCTTGAACTCTCCAGGCTTAGGATGATGCAACAACTTCCCATGGTCCGGGAATTGATGTACCTGACTCAGAGTGAATCTTAATAGGGCTGTCTTCAGTAGGCCTTCTTCAATCTTGGATGAATTCTCTCAATCACAATTCAGAACATGTCACTAAAATATTACTTTTATTCATTGGAACTGTTGCCCAAAAGGTTTTAGAATTTGTAATTTTACATGCACTTCTACCTTGAGCATCGATTCAATGACTATTTGAAAACTCTTACAAAAGGGAACCAATGTGTTCAAGGGAGACAACCTGATGTCACAGACCACTCATGGAAAAAGTTCTCCAAATGTTTAGTGAAACGGTTTTTATTTTTTGAAGCATGGTTTGCACTCAAAGACCTTTTTGGAACTTATTCATTTCCTGGCTCCTGCTGAAAAGTTTGACCTAGGTGCTGAAACTTGGGTCTGAACCACATAGCGAAGGGTTGCTATGGTCACCACAGCAAGGTAGTTCAGCAGTGGGCCGGTTGATGTCGGTTCCATCGTGCGTGAGTCTCCACAGTAAATTCACACATGGGATCTGAATAGAGAGCTGTAAAAATGGAAGTTAATTTGAAAAGCTCCTCTGAGTCCATCACTGAGTAAACACATCAGTTTCTGGGAAAAAAGAAATAGAATATGTTCTTTATATTCATTGCCTAAATATGGCTGAAGAGTTTTGGAACCTAAAACGGGGGTAGGGGGGGAAAGATGTGATTTTCTACATGAATCCACCACTGTCCAAAAACCTCTTTTTCTAGTAAGAAATCTCATGCTTTATAAGGGGATCTTCTAACAGATTGCATAGGTATTGGCAAAATGTGTGAATTTCTGGAGAAACAGGACATTATTATTTTTCAGTTGTTTCTTTATAATATAAATTGTGTGTTGGCATTTTCAACAAGCATATTAATGTTTTTTAATTTTTTGGTTCCAAAGGAAATTATTTCAGTTCTTTAATTCCTTATGCAAGTTGAAAGAATGAGTCTTAAATGTTTTAAATATCACTTAAACACTTTAAATGTTCAAAATGTTTAAGTTGTCATTATTTGCTTCACAAGCATTAGGCATCTGCTGATGTGTGTGTGTGTGTGTGTCTGTAGAATAAAAATAACCAGCATACAGGGAAAAAGCCTTCAAAAGAGATTTTTATTCTAAAAAGTAAGTAAACTGAGTTAACTTTTCTCCATTTTCTCCTTCAATCCCAAGATCGGGGGTCTCCATGAAAAGGCACCTTATATAATTTTCTGTACTGCTATAACCAACCATGTTATGTTTAAGCACACGGAAGGATTGAAAGTAAGCAACAGGTAAATACAAATTGTCATATTTATCATACCCTAGAATTTGATGTTCACCTTATGGTTAATTTTAAAAAAGAAAGAAAGAATATACTTATTTGTCAAATCTTAGAGACAACCAGGGAAACAGACATAAAGGCACGGAACACATTTTTTTTTGTACACCGGGGCAGGTGTTTGGCCTAGGACCTGAGACATCCGGCATCCCCTAAGGGAATGACTGGGCTGAAACTCTGGCTCCACACCTAACTCTGGCCAGTGCAGACTTTGGGAAGCAGAGTCATGGGATTCCAGTGACCTGAGGGAGAAACCTACATGGTGTTCTTACTCCTGCCTTCAGCCTGGCACGGCTCTGTCCTTATCAGCCTTTGGGAGCGAGTCAGCCCATGGGCTCTCTGTGTGTATCTTTGTATGTTTGCTGATGAAAAAAATAAGCAAAAAAAATTTGCTCTCCGTCTGTGCTGGTCTCAAATTCCAGACTAGTCCATCTAACTGCCTCCTTGTCCCATCTACCTCTGAAAATCAGTAGACTTGAAACAGGGCTGGGGGTTTGGGGAGTGGGATATTGTGGGATAGTAGGAGAATGTAGGAAGTATAATTGTCTTCTAGGAACCACACTGATGGAACACATAAAGTTGGTTCTCTTTATATATTAAAAAAAAAATGAAGTCAGGTAGTACAAAATAAAATACAAATAAAAAAGAGACTTGTTGCTGGTCTTCACCATAAACACTTCTCTTTCTGGATTATTTATACGGAAAGAATGGCCCCTGTGGACACATAGGTCAGAATCGCCGGAATTGGCCTAACTGGCTCTTGTTTCACTGTACTCAGTTGTGTCCAGAAACGCTTGCTGAAGCTCCTTCAAATCCTTTCGGCCTCCGAGCATCACTGCTTCTTCATCAGGATATTGTCTCTCTCATTTGCACTTGGATTCAAGGTCATCTCCTAGTCTCCTTGTCTCAATCTTCCTTCCTCCCTCTTTTCTGTCTTCGACATGAGTCTAACCACATCACTATGAACAGCCATCAAAGCCCCTTACAAACTGGATTTAAGAACCCATCAAGAGTCTCTCCTCTCTAATCCTTTCTTCTGCTTGCCGCCAAACACAAATATTTGTAAAACAATGCCATTGAACCTCTCTCTCTTTCTCTCTCACACACACGCACATGCACACACACACACACACACACACACACACACACACACACACACACATTTTGAAAGAAAGAGCCACAAATGCTTGCTAACAGCCACAGCTGGGACAAAGTCCAGGAGTCCTTCTCTCCCATGTGGGTGGCAGGGACCCACCATTTGGCCCATCTTCTGCTGCCTTTCCAGGTATTAGTAAGAAGTTGGATCAGAAGTTGAGAGACTGAGACTTGAATTGGCACAGAGGTATGGAATACCAGTGTCTCAAAAGGCGTGTAACCAGCTGCACCACA